CGGGCTTGGAAACTGCAGTGTTGGAATTCTTTTGAAATACTGGACATATGAAGATTGTCGATTCTCTCACATTGCTGCCACTTCATGTCCCCCTCTCGGCGTGATGTAAAAGGATATACAACCATCAAATCCTAATACAATCGAAATTTTGATGAAGGTTGTACCATGAGCTTCATGAGGCCACTGTAGCAGTCATTAGTGGGTGTAACAGAGTCCGGCTTTGGAACCGTAACAGCTCATGCTTTTTCTTAGTGAAGCTGCATGTAGTTTGCGAATATCGGCATGCCTTTATGATATATTTTTCATTCGATGCAATGTTTGGTACTCATGATATGAGTGCCATTTCTGACTAATTTTTTTTCACTGTACTTATCCGTGTGATGTTATCTGTGGGAATAGGAAGAGGTCGTTCATGTCGCTTTGAAAAGCTCTTCTTTTAATGTTGAATCATTTTGATCGTGGTCTGTCGATCGTTATTGTTCTTTTAATTCCGTCGTCGCAATTCAGTGAAATTGATCATCGTCCATGAAATTTCTCACTAACGAATATTTTACACTATTTTCTGACAGTCAACTGATCTGAGGACTCCCGTCGTTACAAGTAGTTATATGCCTGGATTTAGTACTATATCTTCGGTAAAATTCATCTCTCAGTTCCGAGATGCTTTAAATCATGATTTTTGCAATGCACTGACAAATACACACAGAGTTCACTGTTGAAATATTCTGCTTCTGTGAGCAGTGAACCGAACTTTACATTCTGTAATGTAAGCGACTTCTTATATATCCACGCAGTCTAATATGACCGTTCCTGATGGCAGACTAGAAGCCTCAACATATTGTAACTTGTTTACACAGGAAGTTTCAAGTATCTTGTAAAATTAATTAACGAATTTCAAGGGCTTGTAAAAATTAACCAAAAGAAATCTTATAAATAAGCAAGTTTAATAAATATCCGGGAAATTGTGTATCTTAGCAACTTGCAGTTTCATTTGTGGGTTATGTTTATGATGATATCGGTGTGCAGTGTCAGAAGATAGTGGTGAATTAACGAAGTTAATGTCGTCCCAGAAACTTGTTACCATGGATTAAAAAATGAGCAGTTGTTGTTATTCAGACAAACAGTGATCGATATTTCTTTCTGTAGTTGTTCAGAAACAGCTGTTTCATATCAGTGTTTGCCTCAGATCGTTGAACCGGTTTTGTATTTTAGGACTGCTCAAGTACCTGCTAAGCGACAATCCGTTGGCGAACAATGCTCGTAAGATGTTCGTCTTTAAGATCATTCCCATGATCAACGTCGACGGCGTGATCCACGGCAGTCACAGATGCTCGTTGTCAGGTGAAGACTTGAATCGTCAGTGGATGGCGCCTAATAAACTGCTTCATCCGTCGATTTACCATCTGAAAAATTTGTTAACGTTTTTTCGCTGCATCGGGAAGAAACCTTTCGTAATAAATTTTCTGCAGTCAGCTATATATTTTAACCTGACATGCTTTGTGCAGGTTTACTGTGACTTTCACGGCCACTCGCGGAAGAAGAATGTCTTCATGTACGGAATTAACCCTAGTCAGTCGTGGTGCAAAATTGATCGCGCAGCTCGTCACAACTTTGAATTTTACGTAATATTTCATTTCTGTTTTTTCTTTTTCTTCATTCAGTTAACAGTAGCTTTCATCTGCTTATTTTTCAATTCGACAAGCAGCTTAATTCATCCTTGATGTTATTAATTAAAGTATATAAACTCGGCAACGCTTATTTGTACACAGTTCAGTACCATTATAACGTTAGTTGGGTATCGTTCGATTACTTGACAGGCTAGCCACGTGTACTGCGTATAAAATGAATTGTTTTTGTGTTTTATTTCAGTGTGACTAATGACCCAAGAAGCAAGTACTCCAGTACGTGCAGTTCTTTGATTTATTTGTTATCACGCCCCAACTCCTTGTCCTAGAGGCTTATGGAATCTTGATCTTACTGTTTCTTGTTTAAAAAACAGAATAAGATGCCATTATTTTTTGCCACGAGTTTTTGTTTTTGCAAAACCGCCCCCTCCGTGCACGTACATAGGCAGCATGAAACTTATACGGGATTTACGTAGCGGCATCTAGGCACGTTTTCGCATAGGTTCTTCTCTCCTGGAACTAATTTCAGCAGTTAAACGGTTTTGTGCTCACCACAGTGCTCTGTTATGAAACCAGCGTATGGAGGCATGAGCATATATTGAAATGCTGGAATATCTGCCTAATATCTTCAGTTTTACGGATCTGGATGAAACAAGCGATATCGCACTCGTCCTCCAGTGTGCTTCTCTCATATCTTTTGTCTAAGTTAAACAACATCCCGAATACACTGCAACAGAATATTTATTTGTAGGAAAAGATGATACAGTGCCACGAAAGGAAAGTTCCCACCGCCTTTGTTTGCATGGATGGCCCAACAGTTCATAAGGAATAGTTCAACTCCTTGAGAACTTTCAAAACTCACCCGCCATCTAAGCCCAAGATGCTCCATTTTCTAGGTCTCGTTTCCGCAATTATGAACGCTCTTATTTCCAGTTTGGTAATCGAAGTACTGCTGTTTGAACCCAAAACTTAGACTCGGAGAACGGCGTATATCGATCGGTGAACGAACGTCAGACTTACCGTATGAAGAGTCAGAAGTAGTTCTTCAACATCAAATGTTATGACTTCGCTTCAACTGTACATTTTACATGGCTGATATGATCAGCCGTATCAGAATCTCCATACTTCCCCGTATGACGAGGCTTTCAACGTCTGTTTGCTGCAACATTGAAATGAACAGTTGTAAACTGTTGACACGGAGGCCGTTCATCACCTTCCTGGCGGAAGCTCATGAAAATGCCGTGATATCGTCGAAGCATCTTGTTCGAGCAATTGTACCAAATACGGATCAGTAATACATCATCGTTGACAAAAATTAGGCTTGTTAGGGTAACTGTTTTAATGTTGATCGTGTCCGTTGTATTCAGCCTCTACCCATTTTCCTGATTTCATAGTGTCTTACCGCAATACCTTGTCGGGTATGGTACGCTCGTCCTTTTTGCCGACTCCAATCTATTGCGTTTTGCTGTTGCGAAATTGCTGGCCAGGCAAACTGAAGTGTAATGAAATGTCCATGATTTTAAATTTGATTTTTATTTCAGTTTATGGCTTACACCCTGTGCTAATTTTTTTTACCAGCTCTCAGTTGGATCATCTGTTGTTTGTCGTTTCAGCCATCATAATAAGCCATCCGCTGTTGGGTCTGACATTGGCGTGTTGCGAATCCTGAAACTTGACTGACCTCTGACTAGAAGTCCCTGTCTGGGCGGGTTGTTCGACACCCAGAGAATGCACTGCGCCATCATCTCTGCCTGAATGCCACGGTCA